GTTACCTATGCTGACCCAAGGATCGAAATTTCTTGCAGCCTACTACGCGAAGAAAAGTGGCGCTCATTGAACAGATTTTCTAAGTGAAGTGCCCTCACCCAAACAAAAAAGGAGCTTTTTATTTTATATTTTATCTTCCTTGTACTTCTCACGGAGCTATGTACTGTGAACGGTACTGTGACCAGTACTGTGAACGGTACTGTGACCAGTACTGTGAACGGTACTGTGAACGGTACTGTGACCAGTACTGTGAACGGTAACGTGACCAGTTCTGTGAACGGTACTGTGAACGGTACTGTGAACGGTACTGTGACCAGTACTGTGACCAGTACTGTGAACGGTACTGTGACCAGTACTGTGAACGGTACTTCGACCAGTACTGTGAACGGTACTGTGACCAGTACTGTGAACGGTACTGTGAACGGTACTGTGAACGGTACTGTGACCAGTACTGTGAACGGTACTGTGAACGGTACTGTGACCAGTACTGTGAACGGTACTGTGAACGGTACTGTGACCAGTACTGTGACCAGTACTGCGAACGGTACTGTGACCAGTACTGTGAACGGTACTTCGACCAGTACTGTGAACGGTACTGTGACCAGTACTGTGAACGGTACTGTGACCAGTACTGTGAACGGTACTGTGACCAGTACTGTGAACGGTACTGTGAACGGTACTGTGAACGGTACTGTGAACGGTACTGTGAACGGTACTGTGAACGGTACTGTGACCAGTACTGTGAACGGTACTGTGAACGGTACTGTGACCAGTACTGTGAACGGTACTGTGAACGGTACTGTGACCAGTACTGTGACCGGTACTGTGAACGGTACTGTGACCAGTGCTGTGACCAGTACTGTGAACGGTACTGTGAACGGTACTGTGAACGGTACTGTGAACGGTACTGTGACCAGTACTGTGAACGGTACTGTGAACGGTACTGTGAACGGTACTGTGAACGGTACTGTGAACGGTACTGTGAACGGTACTGTGAACGGTACTGTGACCAGTGTGCATGGTTTTGGGAGAAATAGTTGTGACGAGATTTTTTAAAATTCATTATTCATGAATCATACATGTTATAATACTTATTGTTCATATTCTTTCAAAAAAACAAAACAAAAAAGAACAATACCAAACACTGACTACAATTTTGAATTTCGGGACCCGGTATTCCATTGTTTCATTTTGTCTTGAATATTGATTGTTGATGATGATGCAGTTTAAATACTTAAATATCTTATAAAATTAAAATGGTTGTTAGAGTTACGAATTACAAGATATTCCTAATTTATTTTTCGGTCTGAGTTTGATCATATGTCAAACATGCGCGCCTTTGTGTTTTTGGAGTTGGATTAAGTTTAATCGGGTGCGATACTCGTAAAATATTTGTTTCAAATAAGCCCGTCGACAAGTCCAACTAGCTCAGTGCTTGTCTTGGTAGGTTATAAACCTACAGCTACAATTAGGAGTTGGAATAAAACAATAATTAAATTTAACGAATTATTTGCTCTGAATAGAGATTTCCCGCTGCAGAATTAGAACCATTAAAAGTAAATTATTATAAGACTAGTGTAATTCACTAATTCCCGTGCCTACGGCTGAGACTTCACTATCACAGTTGAAATGCAAAAGTATAAATCCGCCTATTATATTCAAAAACACACATTACATTTTCGTAGTTAAAACGGTGGGAAAGTATGAACTCGCTCTGTAAACTGCAATTTAATTCTGAGTGCCCCTCAAATATTTTACAGTAATACTTGATCGCTAGCCAATTTAAGGTCCCCATGCCAAAACCAAACTACCTAATATAAGTATCAGTATCACATTTGGGTCAAAAATGATCAATTAAACCATTTACCACCGGCCGATTTGGCTTGGTCACAGTTTTGTTATGTCGCCATTATACCAACAAAAAAGACAGCCCCGTAATTTACCCGCTTACCGTTTACTTGATTAAGCTGGTCGAAATCACACGCGAACGAACGAACAAACACGTACTAACACACATCTTGAGATTATTAGTATAGATTGTTGCTGCACCTAATAGGTATAATTGGGTTACTGTTTTTTATTAATTATTTCTAGGTTCACTTAGGACGTATTGTGAAAAATAACTTACTATGGACATCGGCCTCATTATCAATTATCTGGTAACTTCAACAGTTTTGAGTTTTCCACCATTTGTACCGTCCGACTGTCTCTCGGGAAATTCAAAATTGATCACAAAATAATATATTTGTGAGAAGTTTGAAATGGGGTATGTGACCTGTAGTATGTGACATTGTGACTTGTTGGGAGCTTCATCCTGAGAACAACATGAGTCCTTTGTGAGCCACAACCTTCTCTGGGTGTGACGTAATATGGCCAATGTCTCCAACTTAGTCGGTTTGTAGCTCAATATCATTGGTTTACCCACCGTCTGATCAAACTTCACAAATAACTGAAGCTATTTTCAGAGCCACAATTACATTATAAGCCGTGTTTATTAATTAGTGGTTGAATTACAGGAGCCCGTGTATGTGTTGTGTGGGACAGGCCAGGACGTGTTTCCATGGAGTCTTTAGTGAATGGTGGAGGATCTGTCCGGTCATTACTAATACCATGCCAGATTCTTATATATCATTGGTTTGTCAGAATTTCAAGTTATTGATAACAATATTAAAAATATAATAAAATGGTTTATTCACTTTGTTGTAAAAGTTATCATTAGTATGAGCTCACGGAGCTCCTTTGTCCCTGCAACTGAGATATCTGATTGGTCCATGGTGATGGGAGCGGGGTTTCTCATTGGCTCCTGAGTCTGAGAGTTAGACATGGTTTTTTGATTAATTAACAGCAATAATCCTGAGAAAATAATCTGAACGCCAGATTCCAGACGTGTTCCAGATTAGCATGATTCTGAAATCAGGTACTACTTGGGTATTTAAATCATGCCACAATTCCATTTTTTTCAGAATCCATGCTGTTTATGTTATGGATCTCCATCTCTACCTGACGTGTTCTCCCAGAGACACGTTGTACTGATGTAGCTACAAGCTCTAGTACTACTAGAGATTGTGTGGAACCTCAAACCTGCAATTCCACATTTATTTATTTTATAATCATTTCTAGCCTTTGGAACCCCTTTACTTGCATTTTTAAAGATTTGTTTTCTTTAAAAAGATTAAAAAGATTTATTTTCTACCAGTCAGTGTCATGGCTTCCCCCCCCCACCATCATATGCCAAAGGATAATTTCATAAATATAGAATTTACTATTTAGCAATTTTTAATCTGTGTCTGGGATCGCGTCCATTTTGATGACAATTTGAATTTAATTCTGATTATAATAATGCCTATAATTATCTGCGTAAACTGTGAAGTTGAGCTTGTATCCACATTAATTTCCCAGCGTATTAAATAGTCGTAAAATAATTTAGGAATTAATCTTAATTCTTAGCAGCTGTTTCCCAGACTTGATAAGTGAAGTTTAACTAAACTCAATTACTAGGCCACCTTGAGGGCCATCTAGTTTGAGTACTCTTAATTCTCCACCGAGTTGGCAGATCAATCAAACTATCGACACTTTAATTATCTGTCATTTGACTCAAATCAGCCCAACTGGATTTGGCCTTTGGGTAAAACTAAAGGGTTCTGATCCCGTTACATGATTAAATCCAGTAAACACGCGTGATCACTGACCAATTCTTTATAAGTCCGTGCAGCAGCAAGATCGGGTCATTCCCATTCCCTGGCGACTAATTGCACTTTAAACAGGCTTCTCAGTCGTGATACCCTAATTCTGCTTTCAACTTTCATACTCAGTCGCTGTTAATCTAAGGAAGCTTCATCTTGTTGAGTGCGTGTCAGTGCAGTGATCTTTCAACTCAGTTATACCGATATAATGGTGATCACTGTGATCAGGTCGAATAAGAAACGAGAATTAAGAAAGGTAAATTCGTCACGGTTCAATATGATATTGAGAGATTCAATGTGTTGACTCGTAAATCTCTTGCGACCTTTCCCCCGTCCTACTCGTAACTCGTAGAACTATTAATATACTGACGCTCTTAAAAGTATGATATTACCTAAGTTTGAATCTACTGTCTTGGGTAATGGAACTAGCAGCAGTTATAGCTTTATAGCACCTTGGTTTGGATATGCCGTACAGGACGTGTGATTCTAAAACTAATTTCTAAACTTCGTCTGACTATGCACCTGCAAAAAACCATACCATTAGTTTGACTAACGACGAAAACGCGGCCGGCTCTGATAATTAATCCAATATTAATGGTCTGTTCTTCCTGACTCCTTATACCTTCAGACTTCTGTTGAGAGATCTGTTGCTATTTTCAACTAACTGTATGGCTGTCTATGATGATTTTCATTTATGGTACCCATCGCCCATTTCTACCCAGCTTTTAATAAAAATTCGTAATAACCAACGTCCAGTTTCAACTTATCATTAGTATGTAATCAAGCTGTCAAGATTAACAGGACCAATATTCAGTATTAAGTTAATTAAAGTGCTTGGGAGTGGTTTAATTATCAACTGGTGCTTAGTCTAAGTCTCCAGTATTTAAGGGTGGAAACTTAGCAACAACAGTGTACTTAACTTTCACTCAGTCTCAGTCTTACTTGAAGCAGCTCCAGTGGAAACAACTTGACTTTTCGGCCTAATTCTAGTAATCCTGACAGTAGATCACTCGCTGGGGCTAAAATATTTGGGCCTTTTTAGAACTCTGGGGCCAAAATATTTGGGCCTTTTTAGAACTCTGGGGCTTTTTAGAACTCTGGGGCCACAATATTTGGGCCTTTTTAGATCTCTGGGGCCACAATATTTGGGCCTTTTTAGAACTGGGGCCACAATATTTGGGCCTTTTTAGAACTTCTGATCATAATGCACTAAGCTTGTATATATCACGAACTCTTTTGTAAGTCAAAGTGTACATGTGCCCCTGTTTCATAGTACATAGTTATACAAAATTAATAGTTATACAAAATTAATAGTTATACAAAATTATAACAGATTATAATTGTAGCGAAACTTTTGTTTTCAACAATCAACATGAAGATCTTCATACTTCTCGGATGTGTAGTTGCCCTCGGACTGGCTTTTCCTTCGAGCATGGGTGATTTCTGCTTCTTCAACCAGTGAGTATTACTTACTTAACCTCTTATCAATCTTGATTAATGCAACAATTTTGACATTTTAAAATCTTTTATAACAAATTCAATAATTATGTAACTACTGTAGGTTGGTTCGTTTTTCAGTCACCCACAAAACTCGACTAATTTAAGAGTATCAAGATTTACAGCTTCAACTAGAAACTCGAACATCACAATAAAGACTAAAATGTAAAAATAAAACATTGTTAATATTACAGGCAGATTTACAACGCAGGAGACAGCTTCATGGATGGATGCAGTAGCTGCACCTGTAACCAGGGAGGTGAGGTGAGCTGTGATCACATGCTCTGTCCTCCTTGTCACTACATGGACGGTTCTGGAAAAACAAGTGAGTTCTGTCTATCAGGACACGTGTTTTTGTAATATCTGAGGTTTTGTAACCTTAGTAACCTCAGTAACCTTAGTAACCTTAGTAACCTTAGTAACCTTAGTAACCTTAGTAACCTTAGTAACCTTAGTAACCTCAGTAACCTTAGTAACCTCAGTAACCTTAGTAACCTCAGTAACTTTAGTAACCTTAGTAACCTAAGTAACATCTGAGGTTAACCTTACTTACTGAGCATTAAATTAATATCTATAGCTGAAATGTACATATTATTAATATTATTAGTAACCTTTACTTGGTTATTTTCAAAATAACACATCTAATTATTGTAACCATGACTCCCCTGCAGTGCGAGCATGGGGCCCCTACAGTGACGGCTGCAACCAGTGCATCTGTACCCACGACGGACTGGCTCTCTGTACCTCCATGTGGTGTCCTCACAAATGTCACGTGACTAACGACGATGGAGCTGCTGGCTGGGTCGACTTTGACACAACTCTCATCCACATGCCTGAGGAAGAGGATGCTTGCCCCAAGGTACGGCTCTGAGATTGCAGGCCAACTTTCTTCCTTCGTTATTTTGTCGTTTAATCTCGTTCAACAGACAAGCTGCTAGTAGAAATAATATACTTTGAACTCCTAAAATGTCATTTAAGAATAAGTAATACAACTGAATAAAATATATAACTGACAAGATAAACTAACCCCTGATCCCGCCCAGGTGTGCACCTGCAAACCCAACACTATGTGGCTAGGAACTGCTTCTTACGAGTGCGAGGAGGCATGCTAGAGAAACTGAGACCCGGAACCAACGTCCTTCTGTTGGATTCTCAATCCAAGGACAAGGCGATGAACATGTTTTTGAGAATGTAGAAACTTTTAATCTTTACAGTGACTTGTAAGAATTTAAAATGTTGACAAATGCAACTCTCAATATTAAATTTTTGAATGATTTTTTCACGTGAACAAACGTTTAGAATTTTAAAACTGTTGTGTAAGGAAAAATAGTATTAATTATATAAACTATTTTCATTAGCAAAATATAAAAAATTACAGCGTTTTATTTTGTTTGTACGCCACATTACATACCTTAATAGGCACACAAAGTGAGATAAAAAATAAAATAAACCTATCAATTGTCTTGGGTGAGTTAGAAAAGCCACAAAACAGAGGTATTCTGTAGTTCAACCGTCAAGTCAAACACTGTTTTGATTGGCTGCCGACAAAGTAAGATGACCGGGCCTATTCACGCTTTTACACTGGTTTTCGAGCACTACCAATATTGATTATCCCTTCACCGAGCATTCATACATTTCCCCGAGAGGCGCGGTATATGTAAGTTTGATTACCTATAAATGATAAAACTAACGAATATACTTATTATACTTATACTTATAGCGTGAAGATGACAATGTGTGATTTGAGCCAAAACTCCAATTATTTTACCTAATTTTATAAACTCAATAGGAGTAAATCAAATAACTCATGTAAGTTTAACCATGAAATGAACTGAGTATCACCACTGAGTATCACCACTGAGTATCACCACTGAGTATCACCACTGAGTATCACCACTGAGTATCACCACTGAGTATCACCACTGAGTATCACCACTGAGTATCACCACTGAGTATCAACACTGAGTATCATCACTGAGTATCACCACTGAGTATCACCACTGAGTATTACCACTGAGTATCACCACTAAGTATCATCACTGAGTATCACCACTGAGTATCACCACTGAGTATCATCACTGAGTGTCACCACTGAGTATCATCACTGAGTATCACCACTGAGTATCATCACTGAGTATCACCACTGAGTATCACCACTGAGTATCACCACTGAGTGTCACCACTGAGTGTCACCACTGAGTATCACCACTGAATGTCACCACTGAGTGTCACCACTGAGTGTCACCACTGAGTATCACCACTGAGTGTCATCACTGAGTATCACCACTGAGTATCACCACTGAGTATCATCACTGAGTATCATCACTGAGTATCACCACTGAGTATCACCACTGAGTATCACCACTGAGTATCACCACTGAGTGTCACCACTGAGTATCACCACTGAGTATCACCACTGAGTGTCACCACTGAGTGTCACCACTGAGTATCACCACTGAGTATCACCACTGAGTGTCACCACTGAGTGTCACCACTGAGTATCACCACTGAGTATCACCACTGAGTGTCACCACTGAGTGTCACCACTGAGTATTATCACTGAGTATCGTCACTAAAATATGGCTTTAATACGTCTGATTATTGGTACCAATGTTACTATATTAAGTACCGTAACATATTATGTCAGTATAAGTACCTATGTCAGTATAAGTCATAAAGACCGATAAGTACCTTTGGTGATTGTTATTTGGAAGAGTATCATACACGATCCTATGATCGTAGCTTTTATAGAAATTGAGAACAATTTAAAACTAATGGCTGGGTCGACTTTGACACAACTCTCATCCACATGCCTGAGGAAGAGGATGCTTGCCCCAAGGTACGGCTCTGAGATTGCAGGCCAACTTTCTTCCTTCGTTATTTTGTCGTTTAATCTCGTTCAACAGACAAGCTGCTAGTAGAAATAATATACTTTGAACTCCTAAAATGTCATTTAAGAATAAGTAATACAACTGAATAAAATATATAACTGACAAGATAAACTAACCCCTGATCCCGCCCAGGTGTGCACCTGCAAACCCAACACTATGTGGCTAGGAACTGCTTCTTACGAGTGCGAGGAGGCATGCTAGAGAAACTGAGACCCGGAACCAACGTCCTTCTGTTGGATTCTCAATCCAAGGACAAGGCGATGAACATGTTTTTGAGAATGTAGAAACTTTTAATCTTTACAGTGACTTGTAAGAATTTAAAATGTTGACAAATGCAACTCTCAATATTAAATTTTTGAATGATTTTTTCACGTGAACAAACGTTTAGAATTTTAAAACTGTTGTGTAAGGAAAAATAGTATTAATTATATAAACTATTTTCATTAGCAAAATATAAAAAATTACAGCGTTTTATTTTGTTTGTACGCCACATTACATACCTTAATAGGCACACAAAGTGAGATAAAAAATAAAATAAACCTATCAATTGTCTTGGGTGAGTTAGAAAAGCCACAAAACAGAGGTATTCTGTAGTTCAACCGTCAAGTCAAACACTGTTTTGATTGGCTGCCGACAAAGTAAGATGACCGGGCCTATTCACGCTTTTACACTGGTTTTCGAGCACTACCAATATTGATTATCCCTTCACCGAGCATTCATACATTTCCCCGAGAGGCGCGGTATATGTAAGTTTGATTACCTATAAATGATAAAACTAACGAATATACTTATTATACTTATACTTATAGCGTGAAGATGACAATGTGTGATTTGAGCCAAAACTCCAATTATTTTACCTAATTTTATAAACTCAATAGGAGTAAATCAAATAACTCATGTAAGTTTAACCATGAAATGAACTGAGTATCACCACTGAGTATCACCACTGAGTATCACCACTGAGTATCACCACTGAGTATCACCACTGAGTATCACCACTGAGTATCACCACTGAGTATCACCACTGAGTATCACCACTGAGTATCAACACTGAGTATCATCACTGAGTATCACCACTGAGTATCACCACTGAGTATTACCACTGAGTATCACCACTAAGTATCATCACTGAGTATCACCACTGAGTATCACCACTGAGTATCATCACTGAGTGTCACCACTGAGTATCATCACTGAGTATCACCACTGAGTATCATCACTGAGTATCACCACTGAGTATCACCACTGAGTATCACCACTGAGTGTCACCACTGAGTGTCACCACTGAGTATCACCACTGAATGTCACCACTGAGTGTCACCACTGAGTGTCACCACTGAGTATCACCACTGAGTGTCATCACTGAGTATCACCACTGAGTATCACCACTGAGTATCATCACTGAGTATCATCACTGAGTATCACCACTGAGTATCACCACTGAGTATCACCACTGAGTATCACCACTGAGTGTCACCACTGAGTATCACCACTGAGTATCACCACTGAGTGTCACCACTGAGTGTCACCACTGAGTATCACCACTGAGTATCACCACTGAGTGTCACCACTGAGTGTCACCACTGAGTATCACCACTGAGTATCACCACTGAGTGTCACCACTGAGTGTCACCACTGAGTATTATCACTGAGTATCGTCACTAAAATATGGCTTTAATACGTCTGATTATTGGTACCAATGTTACTATATTAAGTACCGTAACATATTATGTCAGTATAAGTACCTATGTCAGTATAAGTCATAAAGACCGATAAGTACCTTTGGTGATTGTTATTTGGAAGAGTATCATACACGATCCTATGATCGTAGCTTTTATAGAAATTGAGAACAATTTAAAACTAAATGTTCCATGTTTGCTGGATAATGTTACATACCTAACAGACAGTATATCAGCTGATTGGAATTTTATTTCCAAGAAACACTGACGTTTTCATACGAACCATATTTCTCAGCTCCTTTACAATCAGTAGATGGATGAACAGCAGGGGTGTAGGAAGAGGGGGGCAGTGAACACCTTAACTCGAAAGTGAAGCCCAGTTTCGTAGCGTGACGTTAGCTAACGCACTGATCGCAGTATGAGAGACGCATTTCTGAGAATCCGCCAGGGTGTTATAATTCATTCATTTTGCTGGATTCGTCGAACTCGAAGATTTAATTTTATTGTTTACAAAGGAGAACCTTCGGGCCATTTAGTTTTTGTCGCGTGCATTAAGTTTTCACAGATATTATTGCGAATAAAATATCGCGTAATAGCTTTGTTTAAGCTTAAATAAGATTTTCATTATACTCATATTAGAAATACGTTTTAATTGTGAAAGGCCACTGTAATCTGTATAAATTTACCGTTGTGGGTGGATCAACGGACCTTTCTCATTAGTCATTATCCTTGATATAGATACTTAATAATTATATTAATAGGTTACTGAACTTGGTATGAAGTTCTGTGTTTTGTTATCCCTTTGCCTGGCACATATTCTGGCCCATCCCATTCCTGGTAAGTTGAAAATAAAACTTGTTTACATGTTTTCAAGAGTCATTGTCTCTATTCTGTTTAAAGATTTTAACTTACAATTTTAGGCCGTTGTAATTGTTATACTTGAAAGTATCAAATCTATCTTCGAAATCAACGTATAAATCTAAATTCAAGACAATGAGTAATGAGTATCAGAATTAAATCAGTATATTAATATAGTAATAACTCTGAGCAGCACTCTTTAGTAATTACTAATTAATTAATGTTAATATTCTCCTAACAAATTGTATCAGCTCCGGCCGGCGCTCCCTTTGATGCACTCAACGCGATGCAAGGGGAACTTTCTCTATTGGAGGAGAAAACAACCGATACTCTTGAATCTACCCTCCAGACGGTATGTCGTTACCTTGTAACTATAGTAACCTTACCTTGCACTCTAATTGATTGCACCCTAAAAATCAGTATGTTATTTCTTTTACTATTTCAATTTGGTTAAGGAGTGGTGAGTTGGACGTGATATTAAGGTTGAAATTATATATGATAAACCTCTAAGTTTTACTTCCTTGGTGCTCAAGATGCACAGTGTTTTATCCATAAAATAGATACTAAAAAAATTGTATCTGAAATCAGACGACATTCATGAATTTATGAATTGGACTAAAACATATACTTTTATTTCTAACAGAATATTTTGTTTTAGATAAAGGAGTTGAGAGAGTTACTGGAACGGTTAGGACAAACTTTCAGATCTTCCGAGGAGATAGAGGTTCGTACAAAGTACAGACGTAATACTAGTAACATAGCACTTCTATTCATTTATCATTAAAGGATCCAATCATTTTGTGTGTTTTTAAACCACCAAGTCCCAACAATCGTTATTTTCGTTACAGTCAACAGTGGACCCAGTTATATTATTTATGCGAACAACTGGAGTATATAGCTTCAAGTACCTATGTACATACTAGATTCAGAAATATAACTAACGGGTTGGCTTATAATTGCTTGGGGATTAGAGCAAGGTTTACGACGATATTCATATTAAAGTTTTCTCTCAAATTTTAATTTTTCTCACTGAAATCGTGGATTGAAATATTCACTGGTAAATGGTCATTGCTATCGCGCAAATGACTGGTCACCGATGATCTCACCAAACACTCCGACGAAAATCCACTAGAACGAGACCTCATGATCTGAGGTGTGATAATGATTAACGATCTGAGAAAATCCAAATCATTGTTTACCATGGTTACATGAAACTGTAATTCAGAACTGTGAAAATAACCCCGGTCTGCGGCTACAAGTCAGCAAGTCATGGTATGCGAAACTCGGAAGGATAAAAAATCAGGCATGACCATTTAGTGATTTACCAAGTTTATTAAAACGCTCCAAAATCCTTAAACTTATAGTTATAAACAAAATTCCGACTTTAGGTTTTCTCCAAATCAGTCCAAACCATATTATTATGAAATTTGCGCTTGATTTCCCCCCCCCCCCCCCCCCCCCAGCGTACGCCTAGTCGAAACTTGGTTAAAACTATAAATCTTGAATTCCATCCAACTTATACGCCAATTCCCTTCCACAAGCAGGTGCAGGTTGTGATAGAAGAGGAAATCGATGACACAACATTCGAGAACGAGTGGTGGGAGGCGGAAACTGAGGTAGAAAAGGAGGATGAACTGATTACAGAGGTCGAAGGGGAGCAGTTTGAGAGAGAAAGTGAGGAAGAGGTTGAGGGTGAAAGTGTTCCGGAACAATGGGAGCAGTTTGAGGGTGAGAGTGAGGAAGAGGTTGAGGGTGAGAGTGAAGAAGAGGTTGAGGGTGAAAGTGTTCTGGAACAATGGGAGCAGTTTGAGGGTGAGAGTGAGGAAGAGGTTGAGGGTGAAAGTGTTCTGGAGCAACTGGATGAAATGATTGATGATTATGATGATCAAGGTAATTTATATACAAACGATTGTCTTTTATTTTCAAGTGGTCGTACAAGATTTAACATATAAATTAACCTGGTCTATCCCTAGATAAATGGTACTTTAACAAGTTACTCTAACAAAAGTATTCATATCATTTTTATCACAGAGAAGTCAAGAAACATTGAAGAAATGGTCGTCGAACGGGTTATCGAGGAACAAATAGTAGAGTCTAAAGTAGAATCGAACGTCGAGGAATCAGATTCTAGACAGGTTTGATACTTCGAGTTTTGTATCATATATTTTGAAATATATATATGTATATATATATATATATACATATTATATTATATATACAGTACTAATGTAACTCGTGCCTACGGCCGGGACTTCACTATCGCAGTTGAATTGCAAAAGTACAAACGGTGCAAAAGTACAAACGGTGCAAAAGTATGAACTCGCTAAGTCGAAACCGGCGCACCGTCAGAGTTTTGTCGCACTATACCGAAAAAAAACCAGTCCCATATCTCTTACCGTTTTCTTGATTAAACTGTTCATAAATTACAAACAGACACACGCATAGACACACACACACGTGCACAGATTTATTGGGATTATATATGTAGATAACGACTAGTACTACATAGCAATTTCAACATACCAGGACTAAACTATTTCTATCAAGTGAAATCTGTTCACAGGTCGAGGAAAGTGCTGCTGAAGAATACCTGAAAGAGTTGGGATTCGCATAAATATCTCAGAATTAATTAATTTAATTAATTAATTAATTAATTAAATTAAGGAACAATCAACTGATTTTTATTTGGTTCTAGTGCAACCACCAAAGATTTATTATTTAACATGCTTAAAATGTTCTTACGTTACAAACCTATGAAGCAAATTTAAAATAAAAATCGTCAATCGTAGACGATGAAATTGAATGTTTTGACTGGGTTGTATATGAATAATGAATCCTTGCTTTTGATTTAAATAAATCAGTCGATTGCTATAAATTGTGATTATTTTTATTAATGATTACTAATCTGCATGTTTGTCTCGAATTTAATATGCCTGTTCTTTTAAAAACAAATTGTTATACATGTACTTACTGCTTACATTTCAAACATCTATGTTCTCTCTGCTTATAAAAATAACGAAAATTAGATCTGTCATATCACCCAAACTAAATGGTTAAGAAAATATTGGACACTTGAAAATTACCGCGATAAATTATACTTAATGTATATACAGTAACAGTTACATTATGAGTAAGGGGCATTATTATATGATAAAGGGCATGTATAGTATTAGTTAAACTGGAAATAACACACAAGCTGAATTGGTAGCTCTGATACATAGGATTAGAACCTGTTAGACTCAAGACTGGCCTCCAGCTCTCCATTTTTGAGATTCCAGCAAATCGAGGATGTCCAAAGGGTGCAGGATGTTCAGCTCAACAAAATTAACCGGTGGAAATTATTTCGTAGGCCCTTAAATGACTGGTCCAGATCAAGTCTTAACCTTAAATTGGACATAACTCACTAGCTGACTGCTGAAGTTACTAAGCTTGCTTTGCTGGTCTATAATTGCAGTATTGCTCGCTCCTCTCACGTATGATCAATTAATATACTAGGAGAGAAGCTCGAAAAGAGAGCCGCGCACAGTGATAGGCACGAGTACGTTTGATTTGCCTCATATCACGAGACTCATACATACATGTTACATGTTACATGGTAAGGTCTCCTCCTAGTCGTTCGAGTGGCCTGTGCATCACACACATCGCGTTGGCGGCGTAACATATGTCTCCACTGTACTCGGTTGGTAGCCAAAGCTTCTGTTGTGTTGTTGTCGATGTTTTCAACACCTGTAAACTTAGCAGCACCTTCGAGTACGCAGGTCTTCCAGTTCTTACGGGGTCTGCCCCTTGACCTCTTTCCATAATTTGGCTTCCAGTTCAACAGAAACCTCGGTAGTCTAGAGTCTGGCATTCTAACTACATGTCCATACCAACGTAGCCTGGCAGCACTGATGAAAGTCTCAACTGACTTGATGCCAGCCCTCCTAAGAACTTCTTCGTTGGAAACATGAAAGAACCATTTAATCCTAAGGATCCTTCTCAAGGAGGTCTGATGGAAAACCTCGAAGCGTTTTATCTGCTTTTTGGTGGTGTTCCAGACTTCAGCTCCATAAACCAAGATGGTGAGGACAGCAGCCCTATAGATCCTGATCTTGGTCGGAGTCTTTATAGTTCTGCTATTCCAAATGTTCCAGAACCGATGAAAGGCGCCATTAGCCCTCTGAATACGGACATTCAGGTCTCTGTTGATTGTCCTATCCCCACTGATAGTTGCACCCAGGTAGAAAAAGTTGCTAACCTGCTATGTGCTCAATGGGTTCACCCTCAACCAACAGCTCAATACAATCATCGTTGATGAAAGGACGCTGGGAGGCGCACTTGCTTACAGCCATGCATTGGGTCTTCTTTGCTTTTATTCTGAGCCCAGCGTAGGAGCTGTAATGAACTAATAGATCAGTTGACTCCTGTAGGCCTTCCCCTGAGTTGTCCATAATAGCCATGTCATCAGCATAATCGGTGTCCAGAATGACCTTTTCCTCGACCGTCTTCCTCTCCTTCTGCAGCACTGCGCCTTGACTGATGGTCTTGTTGGTCTCAGCCAGAAATGCAGAAAAGTTTAGGCAGAAATTAAAGACAGGAGGTGCTTGAATGTCACCCTGACCTGTGCCTGAGTTAACATTAAACCAGTCTGTCAGCTCCCCATTAAATGGATCATATACTGAGTCTAGCAAGCTAGTTGACGTGGTGCCAATCTCTTTTTCTTCTTTTATTTGGCAGTACGGACAAGGTTGCGCGTGCGGGTCATTTCATGGTACAGATTTCGCTGCAGCATAATAGCATAATGAACTCGTATCATTTTCGCAGCTCTTGTCAGAGCCATTCACACCATGGTTTGGTGAGTGACCTAGATGCCCTTCAGTTTTTAAATCTAAGCCTTCGCTGCTTCAGGGCCAGTAGACAGGTGGATTAACCAACTGTGCCACTAAGCCATTACACTGACATACTATTAATTGATCGAGTGCCTCAGTATTTTGAGATATAGGCAAAAGGTAGCAACGTGTCACTTACCACACGCAATGATCACGCAATGTGAGATCTTATTAATGAAACTTGCTACCCGTATTAGATATTTAGGGGAGATATTTTACTGATCATGATACGTTGTGAATAAAATATGCTTTTCTAATTGGAAGTTTATCGGCTAAATTTTAACTTCAAGAGTGTCTACAAGTACAAATATTCTTCTTGGTCTCCTTTTTTAGATATCTTCGTTAAGTGAAACTTCTAAAGACCTTAAGGGGAGATACACCAAAAACGTTTTTGCTCCGAACATCGATTTTATTTCATATTATGGTTAAATAGAAAAAAAGAATAAGATTGCACACCTTCAAAATTTTCTAAAAACATTCCCTCATCGAGAAAAATTTTTTTTTCTTTTTCGAAACTTTTTAAAATTTGGAGAAGTCTGTCACTGTAATACAAATAGTTCGGCCATTTTAAAAGTTTTTTGGCTGATTGTTTTACTGAAAATTACTTACAATCCGTACAAGAAGCCATTGAAAGGATTATATAATTAAACGATAAATGACGAAGTTACAGACCAAACAAGGTCGAAAAAATAAAAATTGAAATTTTTCCCACTTCTAAAGTTGTACATTTCACCAATCACCCGGGTCAGCAGATATCGCTTCAAAAATTCTTGTGAGTGTAGCTAATGATCATATCAAACTTTTTGGAGTAGAATTTCTCTCAAATTTGAGTTTTAAGCTATGCAATGTGGCCTCAAACGACTTAGTAAAATTCATCGTAAAAAAGGGCAAAAAAGGCAGATTTAAGGCTTAAAATGCCTATAATTCAAAAAGCATCAGTTTTTTTGAAATAATTTTTACAGGATTCGATCGTAATCAGCTCGGTAAGACGAATCTTTTAGTACCAAATAGGTGCTTTTAGAAGACAAATTATCTTAAATAATTTTCTAGCTCGAACACAAGGGTCCCCCCTTGTATAAATTTTGTACAAATTGTACACATTTTTTTACAAATTTTGTGTCTTTAAATATTATAAACTAGAAACCCGCTAGTCGAAAGCTTTGTTCGAGGAAATTTTAAAAATCAGTTATGTTTTAATTTCTCTTCATCATACAGCTCTGTTATACAGTAGACATAATGGAATTTATTTAACAATGGCGACAGCGTTGTTAGTATTCGGATTCCCAAAACGATACTTATACTTTTTACCGCATCAAAAAATACCAATCACAACCAAAGTTATGAATATAAGTCATAGCGTGAGCGTAAATGTGAGCTAGTTTTGAAATTATGACGTAGCATACAGCATAACAACTATGTAAAAGGGGATCGTTGCTAGCGTCGAGATTGTCTTAACCCTGCCTTAGTCAGTTGAAAGTCTGATAGCATATGTTCCGTTTGATTTGACCAATCTGCGCTGCGCTCCATAAAGATTAACTATGTATTATTATAATCTACAGTACTGAAAACTCACCTAATTCTACACAAGAAGGAGTTGTGGCACTGGAGAAGGTGGTGCCCTCAATACAGGTGATAGTGTTGCTGCCTCTCAGTAGGAACCTTTTTTCACATGACACTGTCAGCACTGCAGTTCCTGCTTCTACCGGGAATGTTGCTTCTGTTGTGAGCTGACTCCAGCCTGGATCCAGACCAGTGCATTGTACACTTTCTGTGGGACGTGTTGCTTCAGCGAAATTGAAAAGTTTGAGACGGGTTTATTGAATTGAAATCTTCAAAGTAAATTTTTCGTTCAAAAGATAGCAAGTGATTTTATCGAATCTTATCAATGTAGAGGTCAAAACGCTACAACAATTATGATAGTAATGCAAACAAATTACCGAGTCCATATCTGTAGTGTGAGGATACTTTATCGATAATATTAGAATCGAAACCATGAAATCTTAAGCCGGCCAAGGTTTTCCTCATAGTACACATTTTTGTCTCACTGTTATCCTCATAGACCCATGTCACCTCCAGGACATCATCAAACCAGACTTGCAGCTGAGTGGTAGTCTTCAGGAAGGTCAGAACACCAGCTCTTTGGAAGAACCCTTCAGCTCCTTTGAATGTGTAGCCACCATTGCACCATTTACTATTTATCAACCCTGTTGAGAACGTAAACCAGTTTATTTCTAATTCTCCCAGCGTCCATCTGATGTCGTTACCTGCATCTATCTTCTTATCAGTCTGCATCTGAAACTTCTTACCCTCCACTATTTCGTTTATAAGGGTGCCTTTGTCCTCAGGAACTAGGATCCACTCACTGTACTGAATTCCTGAAAGTAGGTGGAGTTGTAACTTTTCCTATTTGAAGATAATTGACACCTTAAAGATATAGTTAGCTCCACTTGCACGGTCAGGCATTACAATTTTAAAAATTTCGGCCAACCTTAAACTTTAAAATTGTATATTTAGTTAAAACATACCTTCAGTAGTGGTAATCGAAAGCGCAGTCAACACTGTAGCTATCAGTAAAGAAACTGATATCGTACCCATTCTAAGGAATAGTATATCAAATTTTATCGTTTTCTGTTGATTCAAAAAATGTCATTCATTATACCCATTCACTCTAATAATAGACCTAAGCGTATTGTGGAATACAAATTTAAGGGCTCAAAACTGGTGGATGACGGATGTCCTCATATTGTGGGCGTGACTGTATCAATTTATCACAACGAGCGTGATAAGCTGATCATTATCATCTGCAAATAAATACCAAATCAAAAATGGCGCCTGAATCCGGGTCAGGTGACCATTTATATCAGAAAACTATTAGTTTTAACTTTTACGAACATTACAATTTTGTGAAAATAATGTTAATACAAATCATTGTAAAGCAATTTAATTTGTTGAAAGTTTGGACATAAGGTGCTGAGAAAATAAAAGCCGTAATCCGATGCATTATGATATTATAAAATTCTTGTACAAATTATCGATTAAAAAAAGGGATGTTCCCAAAGTACTAACACAGCACAAACTTACTCAGATCATGCTTCCTGGTGTACGCATCCAATAAGAATC